AGTTGAGCATACTGCTTAAGAGCAGAAACTCTCAGCTCGACAATTTTCTGGCTGAATAATCTATGGCCTGTTGGTTTAAATAATCTTTTCCTCAGTTTTTTAATCTACAAAATAAAAGTAATAAAGGTATCTACTACACAGAGTTGCTATGAAGATTAAAGGCATTACTGTATGTAAAGTGCTTAGAAGAGTCCTTAGCAAAAAAAAAAAAAAAAAAAAAAAAAAAAGGAAGAGTCTTTAGCAGGTAATAGGTGCCATATAAGTGTTATTATAATTGCTACCATTGCTAAAAGAGAATAGTAATATTGTTGGACTTCTTTATTTTTATTTATTTATTTATTTTGAGGCAGAGTCTCACTCTGTTGCCCAGGCTGGAGTGCAGTGGTGTGATCTCGGCTCACTGCAACTTCCACCTCCTGGGTTCAAGCAATTCTCCTGCCTCAGCCTCCTGAGTAGCTGGGGACTACAGGTACGTGCCACCACGCCCAGCTAATTGTTGTATTTTTAGTAAAGATGGGGTTTCACCATGTTGGACAGGCTGGTCTCAAACTCCTGACCTGTGATCCACCAGCCTCAGCCTCCTAAAGTGCTGGGATTACAGGCATGAGCCACTGTGCCTACCCCTTTATTCCATTTTAGTGCTGAATAATATTCCATTATATGGAGATGCCACATTTTGTTTATTCATTTATCAGTTAATACATATTTGAGCTGTTTCCATTTTTATTTATTTATTTATTTTTTGAGACAGAGTCTTGCTCTGTCACCCAGGCTGGAGTGTCATAGTGTGATCTCAGCCCACTGCACCTTCTGCCTTCCAGGTTCAAGCGATTCTCGTGCCTCAGCCTCCCGCATAGCTGGGGCTACAAGCGTGCAACACCACACCCAGCTAATTTTTGTATTTTTAGTAGAGACAGGGTTTCTCCCTGTTGTCCAGGCTGGCCTTGAACTCCTGACCTTAGGCGATCCACTCATCTCGGCCTCCCAAAGTGCTGGGATTAACAGGCGTGAGCCACTGCATCCAGCCCTATTTTTGATTATCACAAATAACACTGCTATGAACATTTGTGTGCAAGTTTTTATGTAGACATGTTTTCTCATTTCTCCTGTTATCTACCTAGAAGCAGAATTTCTAGGTCATATGATGACTCTGTTTAAAATTTGAGGAGCTGCCAATTATTTTTTCCAAAGTGGCTATGCCATTTTACATTCCCACGAAGCAGTGTAGAGGGGTTTTAATTCCTCCACATCCTCCCAAACACTTGTTATAACCATCCTGGGGGCTGTGACATGGTATCCAAATGCATCTTTAAGACGCAAAAACAGAAATACATTGGGCAAGGAAGTAAAATCTTTTATGACAAGGAAAAGACATGAAGGGAATTAAACGAAGGGTCCTGCAGTTAAGCTGTAAAAGGAACAAAGTGATATTTTTAGGTCTGTTAGTTCCTTGTTCTCATACAACCAATTGCCTTTTAGAAAGTGTCAGGATTGTGGAGGCAGCCTCCAATTTCACATCTGGAGGTTACTGTGGTCATAACAACACTCTTCTTGCTTTATTGATTTATTTTACAAAGTTTCTTCCTATATTGTACTCTATTTGATCCAGTACCACAAATCTTATGTGGGGAGATATTATTATTCCCATTCTGTAGGAAAGGGTGCTAAGAACTAGCAAGGTTAAGTGACTTGCTTAAGCAGGCATAGCTACCATTAAAGAAAAAAAAAAAAAGAAAAAAGAAATTGATAGAACTGGGGCTTGAGGCCAAATTTTTTATTTCCAATCCCAGTCCTTGGTTTCCTCTTATCTCCTCCACCTCATCTTTGATGACCCAGAATGTAATGTAAAGGAAGAAAAAGCAGAGGGGAACTGGGAGTGTGTGAAGCACTTAGAGGCAGGAGGCTTGCACATGACAAAGCAGTTACAATCCTGCAGAGAGAGGGCAGCTGCAGACAGAAGAACGCTTCGTGAAAGTGACAGTAATGACTGAACTCCCAACCCTCCAATAAATAGGAAACCAGGCATACGACCACTTTAATTCCTAAATTCTGACTACTATATTACTCTGTACTAATAGAAGTATATCGAATACTTACAATATTCACTGAACTTCTTACTAAGCAGTTACTATGTGCTAGTTACGGTTCCAAAACAGTTGAGACAAAAAAAAAAAAAAAAAAAAAAGCAATGATTAAAATTTTCTAAAGTAGAATTAAATGGCTAATATTTACCAAGCCTTTTCTTGAAAGAGGAGTGTCATCAGAATAACATTTCATAGGAAAGGAAACTGAGGCACAGAGAGGCTAGACGTATTGTCCTAAAGTTACAGAATAAGTGGTGGAGGCAGAATAAGAACCCAGGCAGCCTAGTTCTCTATCCCGTGCTCTTCACCACCACACAAGCTTTTCTGCCAGATCTTGCTTGGCTGGAAGTCACATAGGGTGATGCAGAGAGACCAATAATCTTAATTAATTCCAGGAAGTATTTGTTGAATGCTCATTAATTCATGAAGCCCAGGGGCAAATTCTCACAACAACTATATGAAATACATTCATCTTCATTGTCTTTTTCAAATGTGGAAACAGAGACTCAGAGGAGTGAATTTACTTATTCCAGGTTACAGAACTCTACCTTAGCTAATGTTGACCTGGTGCTTAATATATATCTATCAGATACTGTTCTAAGCACTAACTCACCTAATCCTCATTGTAACACTCTGAGGTAAGTTCCATTATTATCCACCATTCTTCTTCTTCTTTTTTTTTTTTTTTTTTTTTTGAGGCAGAGTCTCGCTCTGTCACCAGGCTGGAGTAGTGGCATGATCTGGGCTCACTGCAACCTCCACCTCCCAGGTTCAAGAGAGGCTCCTGCCTCAGCCTCCTGAGTAACTCGGACTACAGGCCTGTGCCACCACACCCACTAATTTCTGTATTTTTTGTAGAGACGTGGTTTCACCATGTTGGCCAGGATGGTCTTGAACTCCAGGCCTCAAGGGATCCACCCACCTTGTCCTCCCAATGTGCTGATTACAGGTGCGATAACTTGTTCAAGGTCCCACACTAGTAAGTAGCAAAGCCAAGATTCAGTCTAGCTTAAAGTCCTCCTTGAAACAACTTAACACTGATACTTGCCTACATCAAGGTGAAGCAGTCATTCAAACCCAGGTCTGAGTCCTGAGTGAAAGGATGGCGCTCAAAACTGCTGCAGTGAAGAGAGGTGCTAGAAAAGAGGGGAGTAACAGGTGCTCTGGGGACTGTGAAGAAGAGGCATTTCAAAACTGCATTTTGAAGGAAAAAGTGCTTGCTGGACAAAAAGAGCCATCACAAAATTTAGTATTTGTAAAAGAAACGAAAAACAAGTAACGCTATCCAACTTTTAAAAAGATGGCCCAATAATGAAGAGCAAAGAAATTGAACTTAGAAAATGTTTCAGATTAAATCAGAAAAGTCTTATTTTAATGTTTTCACTAGAAAGTACTCTTGAAGGAAAACAAGTTTGTATTCCTTTTAATTTTGACCATATATTTTAAAAAATCGACAAAGAATGGATACGTGCAATCTGCCCTTTGGAACATTAAAAATCAGTTAATTCTGACATCCTATATTGGTCTCCTTCCGAGATCTTTGCAAGATACTCTTTCAGGTCCCGAAGCACAGCCATTTAGAAACCAAAATGAGTAGGGGAACTCGAGCTAAGAACTAGAAGGAACAGGGGCCCTCACAAGTTGTGGCTCAGACGCTGCAGAGCTGGGTTTTCTTTTTCCCTGGCAAACTGATTTATGACCACACGAAGGGCAGCCGCAGAACGAGTTAGACCGTAAGTCCCATTGCCAAACAGCCCTAAAGGAAGGACCAGACAGGGATGGGAATGGCAAGGGAGGGTCTGGAGGTCATCGCTTGTTCTCAAGTTCCGTGAGACACGGCAAATCCTAATTCCTGCAGCAACTAGGGTCCTCGTGAATCCCGCTGCCCCAAACGTGCGAGCCCGGGGAGTTGGCACAGCCTCAAGGCAGCCCGACAAGGTGCCTCCACGCCCCCTTGCGGACCCAAATGATTGAGGACGATGTGCCGGTTAACTGATAGGTGCAGGGTTTCAGAAATGCTCTCTCTGGCCGGGCTCGGTGGCTCAAGCCTGTAATCCCAGCACTTTGGGAGGCCGAGGCGGGTGGATCACGAGGTCAAGAGATCGAGACCATCCTGGTCAATATGGTGAAACCCTGTCTCTACTAAAAATACAAAAAATTAGCTGGGCATGGTGGTGCATGCCTGTAATCCCAGCTACTCAGGAGGCTGAGGCAGGAGAATTGCCTGAGCCCAGGAGGCGGAGGTTGCGGTGAGCCGAGATCGCGCCATTGCACTCCAGCCTGGGTAGCAAGAGCGAAACTCCGTCTCAAAAAAAAAAAAAGAAAAGAAAAGAAAAAGAAATGCTCTCTCCGTTTAGCCCCACAAAAGCCCTTCAAATGAGGCGCGGTGATCAGCCCTGTTTTACAGATGGAAAACACCGAAGCTCAGGGGAGTGAAGGAAGACTTGTCAGCAAAAAGAAAACCTAGTGAAGGCGATCGTTGGTTTTGCTCCTCTCACCAAGAAAGTAGAGGGGCTGGGATCGCCTCGGGACCACACATCAACCCCTCTTGCTCTATTGGCGGACGAGGAGCAGGCTGTCAGCCTGGCGGCGTACAGGTACCGGGGAAGAGGGAGAGCGCGGTGGGTGGCAGGGACTCTGCCCCGCGCAGGGCTGCAGCAGCCAGGCTAGGGCGCAGCGCGCACCACCCGCTCGTTGGCTTCTGCCCAGCAGCCCCGCGTGGCGAGTCTCCAGGGAGCGGGGCTGCAGCCGCTGAGCGCGGGCGCACAGACGACCATCCACGTGGGGCGCCCGCAGCTGTCCGGGCGCCCCACGCGAGTCGCAAGCCACGAGCCAGGGCGCGCGTGCGCGCAAGACTGCAGCGGGCACGGGTTGGCAGTGCCACCGTGAGCCCACCCGCTGTGTCTCTTGCCTTACCGTAGCTGTTCCCCGGTGACCAAGACCTCAGCCATGCGCTCCAGCTCCCTTTGCTGCGCCCCGCCACTCCCGCTGGTGCTGCTGTCACTGCCAGCGCTGCCAACGCTGCTGCTCTCTTCCATGGTTGGAGCCCCGCCGCTACCACTGGCTCCGCTGTCCGCCGAGGGTTTGGGTGTTCGGATCAGTCTGCCCTCACTGACGCCTCCCCCGCCATCTTTGTTCGGGGCAGCTCCACTGCTCTGACCGGATTGGCTGGAGAGGGAATCCCTGTAGGTAGGCAGAAGCGCTGGGCTAGTCCGGCCTCAGAAACCTGAGCCTGGGGGCGTGGCTAGAGCCCCTCGTGGTCGGGGGGCGGAGCCGATGAGGAAAATATAAACATCTGGGCGGGGCGCTGCATCCTAGCTGTGTGTGCGGCTGGAGGCTGAATGTGGTGAGCTCTCTTTACCCACAAAGCTAATGCTGTGGAATCCTGGGGACAGGGCTGGAGGTTACTAGGGAAGTGTGAAGGCGTTTTTATTGTACGTTCCATACCCCAAGTTGCCAGAGAGCAAAGCGTAATAACAATATAGCCAAATGGTTAACTGTGAAGGTTATACACTGTCACTACAGAGCCTGAAGAAATTAAGCCTTCTTCTGGCTCCAGCCGCTCTCACCGAAGGCAACTTGTTTGTCTTATGACGTAATCAATAAGGAATGCCGGCCTGGGAATCTGGCTGACCTGGGATCCAGCTCCGCTCTTGTATTGTCCTATTTAAATGTGTTCAGTTGTCCCTTACAAAATAAAAACAATTCGGGGCCGGGAGCTGTGGCTCACGCCTGTAATCCCAGAACTTTGGGAGGCCGAGGCGGATGGATCACCTGAGGTCAGGAGTTCGAGACCAGCCTGGCTAACATGGTGAAACCCCGTTTCTACTAAAAATCCGAAAAATTAGCTGGGCATGGTGGCCTGTAATACCAGCTACTCAGAAGGCTGAGGCAGGAGAATCGCTTGAATACAGGAGGTGGAGGTTGCAGTGAGCCAAGATTCCACCATTGCACTCCAGCTTGGGGCAACAAGAGCAAAACTCCGTCTCAAAATAAATAATTAATTAAAAAATAATAGTTGTGGCTACCACTTTTTGACATTAAAGGTACTTCAGATATATTATTACCTCATTTAATTATTACAATAAATCATAAAATGGGTGTTGTGTTTGTTTTGCATCAGGATGCAGGCTTGGAGAGGTGAAGTTATGTATCTAAGGCAAGCAGGTAATAAGTATTAAGAAGAAATCAGGCCGGGCGCGGTGGCTCACGCCTGTACCCAAGCACTTTGGAGGCCAAGGCAGGCGGATCACCTGAGGTCGGGAGTTCAAGACCAGCCTGAACAACATGGTGAAATCCCGTCTTAATAAAAAAAGAAAAGAAAAAAGAAGAAATCAAACCCAGACCATTCTGGTTTCAAAGTTAGGTTTTGAAAAGACTGAAAGACTGCCTCTTAAAATGGGGATACAATGATATTGTCTACCTGTAAGAGATTATGAAAGGAACTTGATTAGTACCAAATAAATATTCTGTTTTTCTGTTTCATGCAGTCAGAGTTGCTCTGCAGGAAGGCCAAGTAATGCTTATGGCAGTATTCATGTATGTTGAGTATTTATTATGCTTTATACGGTGCTAAACACCTTGTTTTTTGTTGTTCTTTTTGAGATGGAGTCTTACTCTGTCACCCACGCTGGAATGCAATGGTGCGATCTGGGCTCACTGCAATCTTCACCACCTGGATTCAAGCGATTCTCCTGCCTCAGCCTCTTGAGTAGCTGGGACTCCAGAAGCATGCCACCATGCCCGACTAATTTTTTGTATTTTTAGTAGAGATGGGGTTTCAGCATGTTGTCCAGGATAGTCTCGATTTCCTGACCTCGTGATTCACCTGCCTCAGCCTCCCAAAGTGCTGGGATTACAGGTGTGAGCCACCACACCTGGCCAACACCTTCTTTATGTTATTTCATTTATCCTCACAAAAACTCTGGAGTTTGATATTATATTCAACTTACAAATGAGAAAGCTTAAGTGTGGAAAGATGAAGTAATTTGCCTAGAAAGTTAGGTGGCCCTGATGCCCTGGTTCTGCAGATTCCCAAGGCCATGCTCAGCCCCACTCCAGAAAGAGAATAGTTGTCCAGCTCTCCCTTGAGCATCCGTGAGCAGACCAGCTCTTAATCTGCATGAGACAGATGTTAGGTGACTCTTTTGCCAAAAGAAATTATTTAAGTTACTTAACTTTTAAAATAGGCCACAATAGACGTGTAAACCAATGAAAACCTGGTTCTAGGTGACTGTGATTCTAAGAGCCTATTCTGCATAAAATACATAAATCAATGAATAGAAGTCCCAGAGTTAATGAGATTAAAAGGTGTCTGCTGCTGCTCATGTTTTAATCTTACAACTACTACATAGAATATCAAGAGTTTGTACGAGCTGCTCAGTCAAACATACAATTTCTATCCCGATTCTGTCATTTGCTAATTTTGCAACCTTATGCTAGTTACTTCTCTTGGCCTCCCTTTCCTATCAATAAAACAGGAATAATCATTCCTATTTCATAGAGATGTTGTGTGGCTTACATGAAAAAACGTGTAATCTCAGTTCTTTGGGAAGCTAGAGAGTGAGGATTGCTTGAGGCCAGAAGTTCAATACCAGCCTGGGCAACATAGCAAGAACCTGTCTCTAAAAACAAACAAACAAACAAAAACTTGTAAATTACCCAGGCATGGTGGTGCACACCTGTAGTCCCAGCTACTTGAAAGGCTGAGGTGGAAGGATCACTTGAGCCCAGGAGTTCAAGGTTACAGTGAGCTGTGATCACACCACTGTACTCTGGTGTGGGTAACAAAGCAAGACCCTGACATGAAAGAAACAGAGAGAGAAAGTGAGAGAAAGAAAGAGAAGAAGCAAGGAAGGAAGGAAGGAAAGAAAGGGAAATTTCTATTACATAAAGTTTCTAAGATCCATGTCAGTAACACAAATTTTAAGATTAAAAAAGCACCTTAACATAAAGAAAATTCAACTCAGGAAAATAACTGATGCTATTGTTCCAGCGACACTGAGAGAGCGTGATTTATTTTTCTTGCCTGACAAGAAGTATGTATGTGTGGTGGGGTGGGGGGTTGTGTATATAGGTAGGTATATGTGAACAGGAAATAGGAATTGGTTTGGTTATTGTTTTAACCTTCTTTTATTAGTAGTAGTATTATTATTCCTGAGACAGAGTTTCACTCCTGTTGCCCAGGCTAGAGTGCAATTGGTGTGATCTCAGCTCTCTGCAAACTCCTCCTCCTGGGTTCCAGTGATTCTCCTACCTCAGCCTCCCGAGTAGCTGGGATTACAGGTGTGTGCCACCATGCCCAGCTAATTTGTATTTTCAGTAGAGACGCAGTTTCTCCATGTTGGTCAGGCTGGTCTTGAACTCCCAATCTCAAGTGATCCGCCCACCTTGGCCTCCCAAAGTGTTGGGATTACAGGTGTGAGTCATTGCGCCCAGCCTTAACCTTTCTTTTGACATATGACACATACCTGGCTCCGCTGGGTAAGAATACAAACCCTTTTTCCTAACTTAGGGAAAAATTGTTGAGCCAAATCCTGAGGACACATCCATAACTGTGAGCCCAGAAGCAACTGGTTCCTGATAAACTGTGATTTTTTTTTTTTTAATTTTAGATATTGATCAAAGAGAAAAGGGCACTGATATGGCAATTAATTCAACATGAATATTTTAGAAAAACAGAATTCTGACAAACCTTGGTTTGATTCTTGCCATGTTTGGGCAAGTTCATTATCTGAATTTGCTGTCCTCTTTTGTAAAGTTAAGATCATAACACCAATCCTATTGGGTTCTTGGGAGGATTAAATAGAATTTAATGAAAGCATTTATTCCAGGTGGGAACTATTAAGTGTGAGCTTTCTCTTCTAGCTCTCCACATTTACCACGTTCATGCCTTCTGTCTGTTTTGGTGCTTTGGGGCCATGTTTCTCAAAGGTTTGGCAGGGAAAAAACCTGGGGTGTGTGTGTGTGTGTGTGTGTGTGTGTGTGTGTGTGTGGTGTGTGTGTGTGTGGTGTGTGTGTGTGTGTGTGTGGTGCGCGCTCGCTCGTGCTTTCAACCCATTGAAGCCTGAAACATTGATGAAGTACAATAATAAAAATGAAGCCAGCACAGTGGCTTACACCTGTCGTCCCAGCACTTTAGGAGGACAAGGCAGGGTCATCCCAGCATTTTGGGAAGGCAAGCGGGGCAGATCACAGGAGTTCAAGACCAGTCTGGCCAACGTAGTGAAACCCTGTCTCTACTAAAAATACAAAAATTAGCCAGGCGTGTTGGCAGGTGCCAGTAATCCCAGCTATTTGGGAGGCTAGGTAGGAGAATTGCTTGAACCTGGGGGGCAGAGGTTGCAGTGAGCTGAGATCCTGCCCAGTTAGCAAACCACGCTTGAAGTAGCACTGGTGTGAGAAACTCTTCCTACGGGTCAGCAGAAATGTGAGAAGGAGATGAACTTGAATTCATAAAATGCGTGAAAATGCTGTCAGCTATGAAGAATTTTTTTTTTTTAAGATGGAGTCTCGCTCTGTAGCCCAGGCTGGAGTGCAGTGGCACAATCTCGGCTCATTGCAACCTCCGCCTCCCGGGTCCCTGTTCAAGCAATTCTCCTACTTCAGCCTCCCAAGTAGCTGGGATTACCGGCACGAGCCTCCATGCCCAACTAATTTTTGTGATTTTTAGTAGAGATGGGATTTCACCATGTTGGCCAGTCTGGTCTTGAACTCCTGACCTTGTGATCCACCCACCTCAGCCTCCCAAAGTGCTGGGATTACAGGCGTGAGCCACTATCCCCGGCCAGTTATAAAGTTTAATATGTTAGCTGTCATGGTTATTTTTGTCTTTTAATATGCATTAGTATAATTCCTGCCTGATTTTGTTTATTTATTTGAGACAGAATCTCTGTCACCCAGGCTGGAGTGCAGTGGTGCGATATTAGCTCACTGCAGCCTCTGCCTCCTGGGTTCCAGTGATTCTTCTGCCTCAGCCTCCTGGAGGGCTGGGATTACAGGCACGTGCTAAGAGATGAAGATCTCACCATGTTGGCCAGGCTGGTCTCAA